CTGTGGCTTCGTGAGACACCGACCCTCTTCCGGGCATGGTTTCCCCTTGACAGAGGGCCCAGTAAGACCTAGTAATCGTTGGGATAGGACAAAAAACAAAAGTGCCGCGAAAATGACAGAGTTATGTAAACCTTCAAACCCTGGCTCTGATACTCAATGCTCTATTGAATTAACGGCGTTCGGACAGATTATGTATCCCATGTCTGTACTAGACATTCGTGATTTTCAACCTCCCAATTCTTTCGAAATCATTTTATTTTGCGTTTGAGAGAATTAATGAGTTGTGCGTTTACTCGATCGTGAAAACATCATTCTCTAGACACAATTTTATGGCCTTTGAGATTTTTGTGACAAATTGCTCCGTAATTCCATAACTTTTATCAAACCACATTCTATCTACAATATAGTAGCATCTGTTCGATGAAATGAACCCCACATGTTATTGATAATGTAGATATTATAATACTAGAAAATACCCTGAGACAAACTAAAGTTTAGACAAGCCAACAGTGAGGCCGATGTCCCCCGTCGAAATCCCCAAATAAATAGATGACACATATTAATTAATCGCACATCTATTTTTTTTTTCAAAAGTATCAAGCAATCAAACTGATTATAAACTACACACTAAGTTTCATCACTCTCTATCAGATAGAATCAAAGTTATCTTGTCCCAAAGCATCGACCAAGGAAATTGCTATCTCTGCTTAGCTTTAGCTCGATATGTTAATCATTGAACTAAGTCAAGACGAACATCTACATCAAGTTTAAATATTCTACCTCAATTAGAAGAAGAGTTGTTATGTTCCAAAGTCTTGACCAATCAAAATGCTTATCGCCCTGCTTACCCTGAAGAGAAAATTCTCAGAATCGAACTTAGTCAAGGTATTGATGTAATGAAACTATACACCAAGTTTCATCACTCTCACTTAATTAGAACTAAAGTTATCGTGTCCCAAAGCATCAGCCAATCAAATTGCTTATCTCTGCTTACCCTAACCAGAAAATGCTCATCTTTGCACTCCATCAAGGCATTGACCTAATAAACACATCTACCAAGTTTGAACATTCTAACTCAATTAGAAGGAGAGTTACTGTGTTCCAAAGTCTCGACCAATCAAATTGCTTATCGCTCTGCTTAAACTGAGCAGAAAATGCTCATTATCGAACTTAGTCAAGATATTGATGTAATGAAACTATACACCAAGTTTCATCACTCTCACGTAATTAGAACTAAAGTTATCGTGTCCCAAAGCATCAAACAATCAAATTGCTTATCTCTGATTACCCTAAGCCGAAAATGCTCATCTTCGAACTCTATCAAGGAATTGACCTAATAAACACCTACACCAAGTTTGAACATTCTAGGTCAATTAGAAGGATATACACCAAGTTTCATCACTCTCACGTAATTAGAACTAAAGTTATCGTGTCCCAAAGCATCAAACAATCAAATTGCTTATCTCTGCTTACCCTAAGCCGAAAATGCTCATCTTCGAACTCTATCAAGGAATTGACCTAATAAACACCTACACCAAGTTTTAACATTCTAGGTCAATTAGAAGGAGAGTTATTGTGTCCCAAAAAGTGTGACGGACAAACAGACGGACGGACGGACCGACAGACAGACAGACAGACGAACCCATTTTAATAGTCCCCTGCTTTCTTCGAAAGGCTGGGGACAACAGTTGCTTTAAAGGGTACATCATACATCTCGACCATCTATAGCATTCGTGAATGACAGACTAATGGACGGACAGATGTCATAATTTATGACCACATTAAAATATGGGCGTCTAAAAAATGAACGAGTTTTTGACGGTAAATTTATTTTATAACAAGTACCAAATAAAACAAAACAAAAAATAAAAGGTTAAACCAAATATATTATGCACCACAAAAGAAGGTAAAACAGGGCCCTTATTCACGAAAACTCAAACTAAGATACAATCGAAATTTTAAGAAATACTGCAATTGGATTGGCTGACCAGTAAAATCAATTTGCATATATCCAATGAATTTGCAGTATTTCTTAAAATTTCGGTTGTAACTTAGTTTAAGTTTTCGTGAATAAGGGCCCAGGAGAATAGAATGCCATTTTAAAAAATTGAAACAATAATAAATCTAATGCCGTTCTAAACAACATGGATATTATATATGTTTGGCAGCCGTAACACTTCTGCTCAGGAAATATTTTACTTTCTTTAGATATCTGGGGTCTGTTTCACGAAATTTTAACTAAGATAAAATCCAAATTTTAGTAATTTGATTGGATGATATTAGATTGATTTTAGTGCTTAGCCAATCAAAAGTGAAGTATCTACTAAAATTTGGATTCTAACTTTAGTTAGGATTTCGAGAAACTGGGTCCAGATTTAATAATATCTTAGTGTAACATATTATACTCTTCAAAAATAAAATAAAATTGGGGATATTGAAATGCAAATACTTAAAGGAGCTAAGTTGCTAATATTTGGGACCTAGAAATTGACACAAATGGGTCGCAACGCATACAATAATGTAATATGATTGTATATAAATTGATTTACATTCAATCGTTTCTGTTTTTACTGTAATTTCTAATCAGTTAGGTTCGGCGAAATACGCCAGTATTCTCAACCGAATTTCAATCTCTAGCGCTTGGTTATTCCAGTCTACGCCGATAGTATTTATTTGGCATGCTCTCCAGATAAGAATATATGATGTCACCGTTTGACATGACTTGTGGAATATGCCTAGCCTCGTTTTTCGAGTCCCTTATTACAAATAGCGCTGAAACGCATTATGGTACACGAAATGTTTCTTCTGTCTTTAAATATTGGATATCAGAAGGTCATCTTTTCCCGGTAAGATCACAACATCAATGTTGATTTAAACCGACAAATAAATCGAGTTTGCAATGTCGAAGATTTTGGATGATATTGAGTTAGAGACTTAGCTACTTTAATGCAGGTTGTGATATGATAAATAGTCATGGACACTTATCGCCCAAACAGAACCACTGAGCTGCACGTGCGACACGCACTAGCGACATACACGTGGGAGGGGTTGATAAAGGGCTGGTTTATCCTACTCATGTTTGCTTTCATATCTGTTCTTGCATAAGATTTACTGTTTAGCTTATCTTTACTTCAGTGTGTTACGTTTAATTTGCAATGAGACGTCTTCAACATGATGAACGTCTACGTGCTATTGGCATGCTTCAAATGGGTTCTACACAGCGAGCAGTAGCCAACATGCTTAATGTGTCACAGTATGTGATCAGCAGACTGTGGAACCGGTACCAACAAACACACAATGCTGATGACGGACCTCGTTCAGGTCGTCCTAGAGGAGTGGTTCTCAACCTTTTTTTGCCAACAGCACCCCTTGGAAAACATGAAGAAATAGCGGCACACCTGGCTAAATATATATGAAAAATATCTGAATTTTTCAAAATAAAAACATGGTTAAGTCAGACGGCATACAACCGCAGACATAGACTAGTCATAGACACTTAGAATGACTCAAACTAAATGAAGAAAAACACAGCTATGAACTTATCAGTGGATACTCAATTGGGATCACGTGTTTTTCACATTTTCTTAGTGTGCCGTTCAAAATTTCGCGGCACACTTAGGAAGATCTGGTTGAGAATCACTGTCATAGGCGTACGAGTCAGGGGGGCGGGGGGGGGGGGGGCAGCTGCCCCCCTAACTTTCGGGCAAGCTGACTTCTCTAAGAAAACCGGCGCCGCTGTCTGTAAACCTGAATTTTTTTGGGCATTTCTAGTTTTGCTTCCTTGTCACGAGCCCTAATAAAACACTAATTTTACTTATCTTATAATTGAATACCACGAATTTGTACTGAGTTGACTATGGATTAAAACATTTTGTCTGGAGCCACTCTACTTTGTGCGACATTTTTCGGGCATCGATTATTATTTGTGAATGCAGCTGCAACAGTCTGATTGAATGGTTGGAATTCAAAATGGGATTTTGGTTACAAAACCATTGGATACTGTTGGAGTTGCTTACACGGGCTAGAATAGCAGAAAACGCATATGCGGTGGTTAAATTTTCAAAATTGTCTCCGGGAGGGTGAGGCCTCCATACTCCGCGACGATTGATTGGTTGTTTGGAATTCGGGTCAGCTAGATGGGCTATTGGACCAAATTGAAGTTGCTGTATTCACAGGCTGGAATAGCAGGAAAAGGCGTTTGCGGCAGTTAAATTTTCAAAATTTTCTGCTAACGGTCCCGTCTTTGTGGACAGCCGTCAAATATTCCAAAATTTTCTTGGGGGGGGTCCATGCAAGGTAAGCTCTGCTTCTTCGCCTCTCAAGGAAGACCAACGCCGCTGTCTGTAAACCCGAAATTTTTTCGGGCATTTCGGGTTCTGCCCCCCTGTCATCGAGCCCGTACGCCTATGATCACTGTCCTACAACCACTACACAAGCCCAGGATCATTACATTCGTACACATGTCCTGCGAAATCTAGGACAAACGGCCAATCAACTTTCTGTAAACTTGTACCAAGTTACAGGAATACGAGTTACACCCCAAACGACTAGAAATCGGCTACATGCAGCCCATTTGCATGCGCGACGACCGCATGTTGTGCCTCCATTAACTCGCCAGCACATGGCAAACAGGCGTCAATGGTGTGGGCAGCGTAGAAATTGGGGTAATCGTCGATGGGCGCGTGTAATGTTCTCAGATGAGTCCAGATTTACTCTGGATTTCACCGATAGGCGTGCTCGCGTTTGGAAGCGTGTAAATGAGCGTCGTGCTATGGTGTGGGGAGGAATCACCATGACTGGCAGAACGGACTTGCATATTGTTCAAGGAAGGGTCACTGGTGTGTACTACCGTGACCACATCCTGGCATCGATAGTTCTGCCCTTTGCTCAACGTGCAGGTCGACGTTTCTTCTTTCAAGATGATAATGCCCGTGCCCACTGTGCTCGTGTTGTGAATGACTACCTCCAACGCCACCATATTGTCCATATGCCTTGGCCAGCCATGAGTATAGAGTGTGTCTGGGACATGATCGGGAGATGCGTTCGTCGACGTCACCGGACCACACTGCAAGAGTGGTTCAGATTGCCCCAAATCGTGATTGGACGGTTGATTAGGAGCATGCCACGACGAATTGCTGAAGGTCTGAGGATTGGTGGAGCAATTACTCATTATTAAGACAAAAATCGAAAACGTTCATTTTCACTTTTGACAGTGTATCTCTTTGCGAGTGAAATGGGGCCGTCAGATAAGCCGTCCATATGAACTGTCAATGTTCATGTGTAGGCAATTGGCCTGTTATTAACATACACTGGTTACCTCTAATAAAAACAGCAGTGCATTTCCGCAGATTTGTATTGTTTTTGAATATCCCCTACTTTTTTTTGAAGAGTATATAAACATCTGAATAATAATTAACAAAATGAGACTGGTGATCTTTGATGTACAGTATTTGCTGAAAATAAAGAGGAGAGCTACTTCGTAATTTAGTAATTTAGGGGGGGGGGGGGCAAGTTAGTTTAATAAGTATGTTTTAAGTGGCCACTGAAACTTTTTAACATTCTATATTAATTAACCATATGCACTTAATATAGGCATATACTGTCATCACCTGTGTCTGTCCACAAATTGAAGAGATGCTTTATGAAGAATTGAAGAATTTGATATAGTTTTTAATACTGTCTGATTGTTCATTGAGTTCGGGGCAAGAAATAACCTATCACGTTAGAAGTGGTAAATCTTGTTAGTGAACGACATGCAATATTATCACAAAACCTTTTTCTATATACAAATATTATAAAATAAAAAAATACTGTCTGGGTTAACAGTATGATCACAAGTTTAATCTATTAAATACGGTTTGCATAGAGACAATGCTAAAATATTACTAACCCTTTTCAAATTTTTACATGTAAATATTTACTGTAATTTATAGTTAGTCAAAAATGATATAGTTCATATTGGTATATCCAGGACAGACCGAAAACATATGAAACTACGTCTCCCTAGACTCAACTCAAAACGCAGAGGCATAGACTATGAACAGCTCTCTGTAATAAAAAAAAGTCATATAGGCTTTCTTAAGACACTACAACTGGTTTTAGTTTCAGTTTCCTTGTTTTGTACTTTCATGTGGCTCTCAAAACCACTAAAATATCAAACTGCTACATGAGCTTTCCTGTTTGAAACTATTATTGACGAATCTTAAGAAGTAAAACTGTTTTGAACGGATAAATAGTAAAGTTTGTCAAAATATGATTCAAACCCTAACAGTTTTCTCCTAATAAACTCCCCCTAAAATGGTTAACAAATTTAGTTGGTAGGCTATTTAACATATTTTACTTAAAGTTTTTATAGTTAAGACCATCAGATATAAAGTAATATCTCCCCCTGAAGTGATATACATATTCTATTTTACATTAAATTACAATAGCCGAACCTCATGTCTCAACTTATAAACAGATGAATGGATCGGGCTGCAGCAAAAGAATTAACACATGTGGGTAGGGTCAAGGGTGGGTTAAGAGAATGAAAATCATAATTAATTCATCTCAATTTTATGGATCAAAGTATGTGGATTATTAAATTATAGATCAGTGAAACAGCTAATAATGAATCCTCAAAATAAGAATTGCATATTACTGTTCTCGTATCAAATGGACTTTCATTTTGATCAATCTACCTAGAATGGAACTGGTAACTTTAGATACAGCCCATGACCCAAAACTGAACTAATCTGTCTCTAATAAATAAATCAAAAATAGCCATTTTTAAAACAAGTAACAAACCTACATCCATCAACAGCTTTGTGAAGTGAGGCACCATGTACGTAACACATTGTTCCTCATTTAAAGATGCAATAAAACCATCTCAAAAGATCTGAAATTTGGAATGGGTGCTAGTACCAGGGTTTGGTGACACAAACAAATTTCGCCATAAAATCTGAATTTCAATATAAGCCACTAGCCAAACACTTCTAGCAAGTTTGATATAAAAAAATCTCACAAGCCTGACTTTCAGAGTGTTCACAAGATTGACAGACCCCAATAAACAGGGGTGACAACAATATACTACCACTTAAAATGTGGAACTACAAAATATAATCGTTGAAGGAATTACCATAAAATGAAAAACATTGGACTAAACATTAAATTAGAATAAACATTTAGTGATTTAGTGGTTTACAATGGAGTATCACATTTTTTAAATCATTTGTTTTATGTTATGTTCCACACAACAATTTCATGTTTTACAATTGAGTATCATTCTTTATGCAATGGAGTATTAATAAATGTTTGAGATGTTTCAGATCTCTTTCGTTGTAACAATATATCGTTAATTACTATTGTGATTTAACTTTATGTGTTTGGATACCATCAACTCCGTTTGATTCTATAACCTCGTCTTCTGTGTCAGAACTCTCCGAATCACTTCTAGTATCCTTCTCTACCTATAACAAATAACACATCTTTAATCACTGATTGATTAAAAAATATGGCACAATAATAAAAGTTATAGGCCACAATCATTTTATTTCAATTAAATGTTGGTCACTTTTCTTTATTAATTGGCAAAAAGACTAAAAATATAATTTTTCTCAACCTTGTCTCTAGATGTTATAGGAATAACCATCAAAATAAATGGGACCAAAACTAACATCTAGTTTCAACTGCTCACTTCTAAGTTACTAAATTTTATGTAAGGGAGGTAACTCCTGTGATCATGATAGATTTACCCAATGCGGTCTATAATAACTAGACCGCACGTCTATAATAACTAGATACATGACACGATGGTCAATCAGTTTTGACTTTTGGTGGTGGTGGGTAAAAGTAAGTAGGTCAACTGGTTTCTAATGTGAACATATTGGAATGATCTCGAACATCCTCGGTATCCCCAGTGATCTCACTCTCTTCTACTCCACTATACGCTGAGTTAATCCATAGGGTTTCCACAATTTCAAATTATCTGCCCTGGCCTTGATTGTAGCTTAAGTCTACAAACCCAATCAAAAAACAGCTTACAAAAAGTCTTCACTGTTTTAAAAATGTGTAACATCTATATGTTTGACTTTTATTATTATTATTACTATTCGTTCTTTGTCTGAAATGTTTCATTCTGTTATGTTTATTATTATTGAATTTATACTTGGCAATTTGATTCTCAATAAAAATCTGTCCGGTCTTCATTAAACACACACTATGCAAGAGCTAAATCTGCCTATTGCAGGTATTTCAATAGGCCTGCAATGTTATATAAACTATTAATTAAACAATTATTAACAAAACAAGACCATAATCAACTCTTGATGGCATCGGATACTCGAGATTTTAACTAGATTAAAACGGTTCGCCATTTAAAAATTTAATTTAAAAATGGGAAAGCGAGGCTAAGCCCGATTATACCAGTGCCCTGGTTACCACTGTGCACACATCTTGTCAAAACTACAAACAATGATAACTTGGCTGAGAATGAAGTAATTTCAATGAAATTTTCAATATTTTCTCTTTTTATTATCTATTTTTGAATTATTATTTGAAGAATGACCAACTCTTTATTAAACTCACTAATGTATCTTTAATATATTATATATTAATTGTAATTTGTTGTTAATAAATATGCATTTAGTATAATTCAGACTTCTCTCATTTAGGCTACCTTCTGGCTAATTCTTAACCTTGTCTCTTGAAGGAGAGCCTTTGCGTTTTGCTTACTTGGAGGCAGACCACCATTAATTTCCCATTGACTTCAATGTTAATTCTGGCCTCTTTGCCCACCTCCAACTTTTCCCCAAATTTTCGTTGGGCTGAATGCTTTTCACTACAGATGGTCATGTCTTTGCACTCAAATTTGTATGGGATTGACCACCAAAACTTTGAGACCATACTTGAAGAAGCATACTAAAAATATGTAACTGCTGCCGTAAATGTCACTGTAGCCAACCTGATAACCCCATTATCCTTCCGCCTCAAAATCATGAATATTTACCAAAACCTGGCAGAAAATGTTAATTCAAACCCTCTTCATCCATTCTAGACCAAAAAATCAACAAAAATGGGCATGCAAAAGGGGGAGCAAAGTGACACAGAGAGAATTGCTATAAATAGACAACTACAAATTGTGGGTACCGAGATGGTGAAATTTAATGGTGGTCTGCTCCCACTTTACCCAATGAGAGTGACTTCCCTTTGCCAACTTCCTTTTCAATTAATGATTTAAGGGATTGGTCGATAAAAACAGCACCATCATCAAGGGCAGATAACTTGAAAATGTGTCCCCTCCAACCCCCAATAGATTAACCCAGGGGTTAGTGGAGTAGAACGGAATGAAACCAATGAGGATATCGAGGATGGCTCTCGATAATAAGTCCTAATAAGACTGGGTTTTAATTCTCAATAGGAAATTCTACAGATGTACATAATATTATTTAGTTATTAAATCTGTAAATTATTATAATCTTATATTTATAAATATTGCTATAACTACATGTATAAATGTTTGTTGTATGTGCAATGCATATCATCATATTGATATTGTAAATATCAGTTTGATGAACCAATAAAAAAACTTAAATCTTCAGTTTATTAAATTTTTATTAAATTATACAATTGTGGTAGGATAAAATCTCTCATTAACAAAATAGATTTACCATTAACAAAATATTTAGAGACAGGAATATAACCTTTATTGTCAGTTATTTAAACCAGTGGCTGCCAGGCATGATACGCCTTCATTTTGCAAAAGATGGATAGAGAACAAGCTAGGAATAAACGTGATTTTTTGTACAATCAGGGGCAATAATCTAGAAAGTTATGGTCTGAAATGTGCAAATATCAAACGGGACTGAGATCTTTGGGATATAAAGAGATATGTTTTAAGTTTCATCAAAATCGGATAAAAATTGTGACCTCTAGAGGGTCCACAAACTTTGTATTACATACTTTTACACAATGTGTGTACAAAGAGTGGCCATTTTGTTGGGCAGTTTTATTTCAATTTTCCTGAAAATCGAATTCAACCTTCATTATAGTGGAATGGTAATATATTTAAACGTTTTTTAAAATCAGAAAAAAATTATGACCTCCAGAGAATCCGCAAGATAAAAATGTGATTTTTCGAACAATCAGGGGCCATAATCCAGAAAGTTACATTTGGATAGGTGCGATTATCAAAAGAAACCAAGATCTTAGTGTGTAACGGTGATATATTCACACATTTTTTTACATCGGATAAAAAATTGTGACCTCTAATGGGACCACATGCTAAAAACATGATTTTTTGTACAATCAAGGGTCACAATTCCGGAAGTTATGATCCGATTCCAATATGCGCTAATATCGAAATGAAATGAAATAAAATGCAATGGGGTTTAACGTCCTAGTGTTCTGCTCCGAACTGGGCTAATGAAAATGGGCATATACCATACAGTGTGCCATGAGGGAAATTTTGCCCGGACAGTGGCACTACGACCGACTCTTATACCAAATTCCAAATGTCAAGAGATCTTTTACATGGACGCTGTAACCCCCCGCGAATATCGAAAGGAACCAAGATCTTTGGGTTATAAACATGTATTTAAAGTTTCATCAAAATCGGAACAAAATTGTGAACTCTAGAGGGTTCACAATCTTGATATACCAGATGTTTACACTATTTGAGTACGAGGGGCGGCCATTTTGGTCAGGTAGCTTTGACCCGATGTTCACGAAATCAACCAACATTATGGTGTAACAGTGATATATTCGAACGTTTTTTTAAATCGGATAATAATTATGACCACTATGAACCAAGATCTTTGGGTTATAAAATATATTTTAAAGTTTCATCAATATCGGATCAAAATTGTGACCTCTAAGAGTGTCCACAACCTTGACATACCAGATGTTTACACTATTTGCGTACGAAGGGCTGCCATTTTGGTCCGATTTTCACGAAATTCAAACTTGACCAACATTATGGTGTAACAGTGATATATTCAAACGTTTTTTTTAAATCGGAAAATAATTGTTACCTCTAGAGGGATCACAATCTAAAAACGTGATTTTTTGTACAATCCGTGGCTATAAGCTTTAGCTCAAAATGTTAATCATTGAACTCAGTCAAAACATTCACCTAATGAACATCTACATCAAGTTTAAACTTTCTACCTCAATTTAAAGCAGAGTTGTTATGTTCCAAAGTCTTGACCAATCAAATTGCTTATCGCTCCTTAGTCTAAGCAGAAAATTCTCATCATCAAACTTAGTCAAGGTAATGATATAATGAATCTATACTCTGCGTTTCATCACTCTCACTTAATCAAAACTAAAGTTATCGTGTGCCAAAGCATCAACCAATCAGATTGCTTATCTCTGCTTAACGTAAGCAGACAATGTTCATCATCGAACTCCATCAAGGCATTCACCTAATGAGAGCCTACACTAAGTTTGAACATTCTAGCTCAATCAGAAGGAGAGTTATTGTGTTCCAAAGTCTCGACTAATCAAATTACTTATCGCTCTGCTTACCCTTAGCAGAAAATGTTCATCATCGAATTTAGTCAAGGTATTGATGTAATAAAGCTATACACCAAGTGTCCTCGATCTCACTTAATTAGAACTAAAGTTATCGTGTCCCAATGCATCAACCAATCAAATTGCTTATCTCTGCTTACCCTAAGCAGAAAATTCTTATCTTCGAACTCCATCAAGTATTCACCTAATAGACACCTGCGCAAAGGGTGAACATTCTACCCCAATTAGAATGAGGGTAAGTGTGTTATTAAGTCTCGACCAATCAAATTGCTTATCGCTCTGCTTAAACTGAGCAGAAAATGCTCATTATCATACTTAGTTTCATCACTCTCACTTAATTAGAACTAAAGTTATCGTGTCTCAAAGTACAACCAATCAAATTGCTTATCTCTGCTTACCCTAAGCAGAAAATGCTCATCCTCGAACTCCATCAAAGCATTGACCTAATAAACACCTATACCAAGTTTGAACATTCTAGCTCAATTAGAAAGAGAGTTATTGTGTCCCAAAAAGTGTGACGGACAGACAGACAGATAGACAGACGGACAGACAGATGGACAAACCCATTTTAATAGTCCCCTGCTTTCTTCGAAAGGCGGGGGACAAAATAAAATTACATAAAACCACAACTCTGACCATAAGACAATTGTCATAAAATTTTGATACAAGCTGTGAAGTGCGGTGGCGTAAAAAAATACAGTGTTAAAATAAATTGAAATGACATAGATGTTCAGAGACAAGAAAATGATATCATTGATAAAGCTAGCCAACTATTGTGACCATTTCTGTGTGATGTCCTTGAAAAGTCAGAAAATGCGAAATGGTCAATTTGACTGATGTCTGAAGTAGAGCCTAACGTATATAGATATCCCGACAGACTTGTTTTAATCAATTTTAAAGTGTTATTCATAGTCTATTGCTGTGCCAATGTATGTCCAAAAATGGTGCATATTATTGATTAATGTAGAATAATTAGTTGCTAATAATGTAGGACTAATTTCAGCTGATGTATATCCAAAAATGGAGAATAATTAGTTGCTAAAAATGTAGGACTAATTTCAGTAATGTTCCAAGTTTCGTTCTTGCTTCATTTCACCCTGGCTTTATTTCAAAATGTCTGGTAAATATTACACAAGAAACAGTCTTTCCCTTTATACAGGGCGATAATATTGGCGTTATCAAATATACAATAAACTAGACCCGCGATGCAGCTACTACAGTTTTAATCACTGATGTTAAACTTACGTCCCTTCCCGTAACAATAAAATGAAATGGGGTTTAATGTCCTACTGTTCTGCTTCGAACTGGGCTAATGAAGATAGGCATACGCCATACAGTGTGCTATGAGGAAAATTTTGCCCGAACAGCAGCACAACGGCCTACTCTTATATAGAATTCCAACTGTCAAGGGATCTTTTACGTTTTTTGTACCATCCAAACCACTAGACAGCTGTCCTTGTCAGGCCCTCCAACCTGCATCGCTGACAAGGGGGAACCAGGCCGGAAAATCTGGATGAACTTTTTCGGCCAATGCAGGGATCGAACACCCGACCTCCAGGCTAGCAAGCCAGCGTCTTTACTTACTTAGCCACAGTGCCCCCCCCCCCCTTTGACAGTTGGAATTCGAAATAAGAGTAGGCAGTACTCCCACTGTCCAGTCCAGTCAAAATTTCCCCCACAGCACACTGTATTGCTTATGCCCGTCTCCTTTAGCCCAGTCTCTGCAGAAAAGTTGGATGTTAAACCCCATTTCATTTCAATTCATCTTTTAAAATTAAAGCCACTATCGAATAAAATTCTAAAAACTAGTTTTAACTCACTTTTCCATATTTGAACTTCATGGCTGCGGCAAGAAAGATGAAATACGTCCATATCCAATGTAAAATTTGTAATATAAAAAGCATTACAGCTAACAATTGATGAGAAGGCGTTGGTGGAAAATATAGTGCTACATCAACAATCACACTGTACAATATCCTAAAACATACCAAAAAAATCAACAACCATTGCATACTCAAAAGGCTAAACATACCTGATTACATAAATTTTCAGTCCATAGCAGTGGGCTCTTTACCTAGGCTATTTTACTGGCTATAGTGATAGTTCATTGTCAGGGGAGTGTCCGAAAGATAAGGTTTTGGTGTTTGTTAATTTGTTCCATACCTCCAAAGGTTTATCTAGTTTTTTTTCTGAACCTAACATACGAGGGCTGGTTGAAAAGTTCTAAGCCTATCTTTGAAAGACCTGCACAAAGTCGATGGCTTCCATTTTATCCTACATCGTCCCCTTTGAGGTGTACACACTTTTGCCAATGAGGTTGCAAGGCCTGGTCGGGAAGATATTTTCTTCAGGCACTCTAATAAAGGTCGTTCAGAGCTGACCTGACGTCATCATTACTAAGAAAACGACGACCAGATAGTTCCTTTTTCATTTTGGGAAACAAGTCTCATCCATGGTTACAAATCTGGCCAAAAAATTATCACGATCTGCTTCAAAACAGCGCAGATTGTTGCGGGACATCAGGAATATGACACTGATCAACAGTCAAGAGCTTTGGCACCCATCTTGCAGAAACTTTTGTCATTCCTAACTCCTTGGCGATGTGCTCAAACCTCTCATGAGAGATGACCACAACACTGGCAATATGCTGAGTGCTCAATCGTTGATCAGCCATCACCATGTCATGCACTCGAGTAATGTTTTCTTGAATGGTTGCTGTTAATGGCCCTCCAGGATGCAGGTCATCATCAAGACTCTCTGCCATGCTTAAATTCCGCAGTCCACTTTTTTACTGTGGAAAAGGAAGAGGCATCATACCCTAAAGTGGAGACCATGTTGCCATGTCTCTGTGTTGGGGTTAGTCCTTTCAGTTGCAGCCACTCAATGACTGCCCTATAGCCAGTTCTGTCTATTTCAGGTGATTTCAATGGGTAGGTTCACAAGATGGTCCGGTATGAAGACAATAATAACACTACAGTTGTAGTTCTTATGTCTATGATTCATTCAATGATTGTACTTGTTGGTGGCAAAAGTTTGTTACAACCTGATTGATCTATCCTTTTCAGACTTAGAACTTTTCAGCCTGCCCTCGTTGGTTATATTATGCAGTGTTCCAAAGCTGACCTTTCTACAACTTATTTATCAAATGTTATGTCCAAACAAACTGACTGGATTTTCAATGCTCTAGGATATTATTATAAACAGGTTTTATCAGTCGTGTATTTATTTAGGTCACCCGCACCCCCTTTATTTTCAAGTAAATAATTATACTGGCTAGTAGTTGTAATGGATAGCATTGAACTGAGCGTAGAACTATACTGTCAAGTTAATATATGGTCAACTTCTTACTTTAAATGAAAAATATTTACCAGTAGGGATATATTATTACTCGTGTAATAACCCATACAATCACAAAACCAGTAAACATTAGTTCTGCTAAAGATTGATGTTTGCTGTATATTAACATTTTTGCACTCTGAAAAATCAGACACATAAATTTATAAAGAGTATTACACATAAATTTATAAAGAGTATTACACATAAATTTATAAAGAGTATTATCAGTACTCCAATATTTCTCACTCTAGCATTAGCAAAAGTGACAATGCACATAGTAAGGAACTAATGCACTTTCGTACACCTAGTACTTCCCTTGGTCATAGGGACTTAAGCCTTCAAACTGTTAAAGAAAAGTTGTGTAAAATCTAATCATCTGAAATTTGGTGGGAACTCATAATTAGTGACCGTTTTTAGAAATTCGGAAGTTCTCTCGATTCATATTAGCAACAAAGATTTGCGAAAGATTTCATCATTTTTTTTACATTCAAGATGGCATATCTCCATCACTATTTGAGAATCAAGTTGAAACTTGGTAGGAATAAGGAACAAATCGAAGCCTTCAAAATGGCATATTAAAAAATTTTGTAACAGCTTCTGGAAACTTCCTGAAATTACAGAGGCCTTCTGATTTTTCCCAAACATGAATAGTTCTCTCCATTTTAAAAATAGACAAAAAATGACATATGGTGGTGTTAGTCCCAGATATTATCTTTCATTTTCATTTTCATAACATTTTCAACTGCTGGACCCCCATATTGGATTTTACAAAACAACCTTCAAATCGATATTCAGCCACTATTTTTATTCCGATTTTCTAAAACTTTTTTTGTATTGAACCTACTCCAAATGGCAACAATTCTTTGGGTGCCGATTTTTTAATTTTGATTTTGTTTACTTCCAGTTTCACTTTGAAGTTTGTTCGACTTATCACCATCTACATGGCGACCTAATCTTTCCATGACCCTTGACCTTTGTATGTATAATGACCCTGATGTCTACTAACTATTAATATAAACAAGCCAACAGTGAGGTTGATGTTCCCCCCCGAAATCCTCAAATAAATAGATGACACATATTAATTAATCGCACATCTCTATTTTTCAAAAGTATCAAGCAATCAAACTGATTATCAACTATACAGTAAGTTTCATCACTCTCTATCAGATAGAATCAAAGTTATCTTGTCCCAAAGCATCGACCAAGGAAATTGCTTATCTCTGCTTAGCTTAAGCTCGATATTTTAAAGATACATTATGGGAGATTTTAATAGAGAGTTGGCCATTCTTGCTATAACAGTTCAAAAATAGATGATGAAAGAAGAATATATTGAAAATTTCAGTCAAATTACTTTATTCTGAACAAAGTTATCACCATTGTAATTTTTGACTAAAAATAGTAGTCAACTCTCTCTTCACCGTCTCGGATAATGGCCGATCGTTTGATTGACAGGCGTTAACTCCACCTACATAATTTTGATTATCAAGTAACGTTTTCAATGGCTGTGGTACCGTTAGCATATTTGGTTTGAGACGGGGTTGCAATTCAATTCGTATCACATTTATTTTTACTACAAATTAAAAATAAGTCTTTTAATATTTAGATAAGAAGAGAAAATTTGAAAGGAATGGACCAAATCAATGAGGTATAATTATAGCCGACTTCTTGTTAACCTGCGTGTACAGTCTTGTACTGTAACTGGTAGGCCTACGTGACTCCCGAAGCAGACAAATTATAGGAAACAGTGATCCAATGGGGTGATGTTAGCTGCGATGTTTACCAATTTCCATAATTTGTCTGTAAACGCAAGTGTCAAAAGAGCGTATAATACTGACATCCAAACTCTCATTTTAACCACAACTAAACATAACATCAAGGCCGTATATATCGAACTTTCAATCAAATTGACTGACATGCGGCCTCGCTCAACAGCGGCCTCGCTTCGTACACTCTGTCATTTAGCCTCGATCTAAAATTTCCGGGAGTATGACGTCAACGTAACGGTTAATTTCCGCTTACGATGCCATTTAAAAATTTAATCAATTAATGAAATCCTGTTTAAATCCAAGCCATCCGTGGGTCTACAGAGTTGATTTTGTGCTTGTTGTGTAAATAAAGAACTAATTTATAATTTCTATGACATCTGAAGCCTAAATAAAGATTTGCAATAATCAGATTTAGCTCTGGCATAATGTTTGCTTAATCATAGAACTCAGTCAAGACGAACATCTACATCAAGTCTAAACATACTACCTCAATTAGAAGCAGAGTTGTTATGTTCCAAAGTCTTGACCAATCAAAATGCTTATTGCTCCTTAGCCTAAGCAGAAAATTCTCATCATCGAACTTAGTCAAGGTATTGATGTAATGAAACTATACGTCAAGTTTCATCACTCTCACTTAATTAGAACTAAAGTTATCATGTCCCAAAGCATCAACCAATCAAATTGCTTATCTCTACTTACCCTAAGCAGAAAATGCTCATCTTCACACTCCATCAAGGCATTGACCTAATAAAAACCTACACCAAGTTTGAACATTCTAGCTCAATTAGAAGGAGAGTTATTGTGTTCCAAAGTCTCGGCCAATCAAATTGCTTATCGCTCTGCTTACCCTGAGCAGAAAATGCTCATCATCGAATTTAGTCAAGGTATTGATATAATGAAACTATACACCAAGTTTCATCACTCTCACTTAATTAGAACTAAAGTTATCGTGTCCCAAAGCATCAACCAATCAAATTGCTTATCTCTACTTACCCTAAGCAGAAAATGCTCATCTTCACACTCAATCAAGGCATTGACCTCATAAACACCTACACCAAGTTTGAACATTCTAGCTCAATTAGAAGGAGAGTTATTGTGTTCCAAAGTCTCGGCCAATCAAATTGCTTATCGCTCTGCTTACCCTGAGCAGAAAATGCTCATTATCGAATTTAGTCAAGGTATTGATATAATGAAACAATACACCAAGCTTCATCACTCTCACTTAATTAGAACTAAAGTTATCGTGTCCCAAAGCATCAACCAATCAAATTGCTTATCTCTGCTTACCCTAAGCAGAAAATGCTCATCTTCGAACTCCATCAAGGCATTGACCTAATAAACACCGACAGACAGACAGACAGACCAATTTTAATAGTCCCCTGCTTTCTTCGAAAGGCGGGGGACAAAAAGTTTGGTCATGAAGTATAACTTTCATTTTATTAAGAGTTTAAAATGACAGGTTTTTCCACATTATTAGGTATTGGATGGTACTATACTCAATAATTTATGGTGTAACTGGAATGTTGATGTGACAAGGCACAATGTGACATGACATACCGAAACATGTCAGTACTCTTTAGCAGTTCTAGTTATTATTATATATGATCAGTGATGGTAGGAAGCTTCCTTGGTGTTGAGCAAGTCATATCAGTGTCTTCATATTCAAGTCTCAATAGTAAACAGCATGGTCGCATGAAGTAAAAGTTGTGTAAAATCAAAAGCTATTGACCGATTCGTCTGAAATTTGGTGTGAGAGCAAAATTAGACACCCTGAACACCCTTAGCAAATTTCAAGTCTCTACACTAACTCTTTGGGTGACAATAGGTGTAGGAGACCGGCGGAGAGGGTATTCGATCATCAAATTTTTCGGGCAGTGGCTAAATGATGTAAAGATAGGTTACCAGGCAACGAAACATACAGATAAATCGTTTGGGCAGTCAACAAGAGTTGTCGCATATTTTTACTTTTGTCGGTAATGAAACATCTATAACACACTAAAATCTGATTAGAGCATTTACAAGATTTTTCGAAGTGATCAAGGCCCATAACTCTGGCAGTAATTATCGGAAATCAATGAAAATCAAAAGACTTCTTCATCTTATGACCTTAAACACTGTGTATAAATTCAAAGTTAATCGGATATTAACTTTAGCCTCTAGTGCATCCACAAGATTTACAATGTGATCAAGGGACATAACTCTGGCAGTAATTATCGGAAATCGATGAAAAGCAATAAAATTCTTCGTCTCATAACCTTTAACACTGTGTATAAATTTAAGGTCAATCAGATATTAACTTTAGCCTCTAGAACGTCCACACTAATCTTAGTGGATATTAAAGGAAAAATATGAAAATTATTCCATTACACAAAGTGAAGTGCCCCTAATCCAGGACTTTTAATGACCACTGGTTGGGGTGATGCAATTCCCAAATGCAGTTGAGAGTTTCAGAAAATCACACAATTCTGATTTTGATTGAGGATGTCTATCTTCTTAAACTTAAACTGCATATATATGAAAATTATTAATTAGTCAATGTAAACATTTTAGTTCTTAGCGGATGTAGGTTCATTTTTCGGGCACTGTCGCTTAATTTTGGGGAAAAATGATGCAGCAGCCCCCCCCCCCATCCTCAAGGAAAATCGACCAGTACGCCTATGTCGGTGACAAGTATTGAAACCTTTCCACAACTAATTGCGCTAATTCTTGAATCAGGAACTGGCTACATACACTCAGTAATCCTCTTCTTGTTCTTGGGGCGACACTCTTTAAATATTCTGCCAATTCGAGTGGAATGCTTGTTTTTAGGATATTGCACATTGATATAAGGGTTTTAGTTTTTAATATGATGCCACAATTCCAGGCTGTCGACGATGGTATCATACTCGGTTTATGTTTCATGTAATTTAGCTCATACTTGTTTAAAATCAGATAAGATCAGGTCAATGTTCTTGTCACTTATACACTGGTGCGCCTTTGCATTTCATATCGTTGCATACTTCTTTAACTAGCTATACATCACCTTACACTGTTATCTGAGTGTTACTTAATCTGTGTATTTAGCATTTATTTCTTTCACATCCATTTAATATCAAATCTTTGTTTAAAAATTCGTAAAAATCGTTTCAAATCACCAAAGATAGGTTGCCAGGCCACGAAACATACGCCCACAGCAGCTTAATCGTCCGAGCGGTCGACAAGGGTTGTGACATATTTATTCTTTTGTAGGTAATTAGGGGCATTTACAAGACATTATTGTAAATTGCTGAAATTCAATAGGCTTCTTCGTTTCACTAATTCAAATAATGCATATAAATTTCACAAAGATCGTTTGATAACAAGGGCCATAACTCTAGATGTAATAAACAGAAATTATTGAAATTAAATAGGATTCTTCATCTCGCTAATGTAAACCAAATATATCAATTTTAAAACAATCGGATTAAAACAATCGGATTAAAACTGTTGGAGTTAAAGAGTTCACAAGAAAATGTGGACGGACGGACGGACAGGGGCAACTTCAATATACGTCCACATTTCCATGTGGGCGTATAAAAATCATCTAATTTGTTCTTGTGTCCAGTTTAAAGCTGACCATTCAATTTTGATAATAATTTTCCAATTACAAGTGCTTAATTTCTCGATCAACAACCCAATTAATTTATGATGTATAATGAACAGTGGTCAAAAAATTAAATACTTGTAAATTGAACACTCATTATCAATATTAATCAAACAGCTTTAAACTGGACACAAGTACAAATAAGATAATTTTTATGAATTTTTAAACAAAGATTTGATATCAAATGAATGTGAAAGAAATTAGTGCTAGATACACAAGATTAAATGATACCTGGGTTACAGTGTTAGCTGCCCATACCCTGACTTGATTATCAGACATTTTAGTAAAGTGTCAGTATCATTACAGGCCGGGACTGTACAGCGCAGTGGATGCTTACGACTGACCCCCTCCCCGGATCCATTCACTTGATTAGATATATGTTGTTTATTGCTTACAATGTCTATGTAGTTTGTGTCTAGTCTTCAGATTTGTCAGTTTTGTTTCAATGTAGTGGGGTACTCTTACACTTACTAATAACCGAACCCCACCTCTCCCACATAAGAAATGTACAATGATTATAAAAGTAAGCAACAAGTACTTACCAACACCCAAATATCAGCGATATCATGTAAAATTAAAACGGCTGCTCCAATTCGTACCATATCGATAAACCAGGAGAAATACATTAAACCTAATGTAGTAATGTGGTGCAAAACCAGTTCTTTAAAATCCTAAAAAAAAATATAACAAATAGATATATTTTAATTCAACCAACAATCTGAAGATTAAAGGTTTTAATTGAAAGATTAAAGCCTGCCCAATACCTTCAAGGTCATGCAAAGAAGAAAACCAGGCAAGATACACCCACAATTGGCAAAAGATGGATAGAGAACAAGCTAAAATAAAAATTGAATTTTCGTACAATCAGGGGCCATAATCCAGAAAGATATGGTCTGAAATGCACAAATATTGAAAGGAACGAACTGCTTATCTTTAGGATATGAAGATATATTTTAAGTTTTGTCAAAATCAGAGAAAAATTGTGACCTCTAGATGGTCCACAACCTTCGTATTACATACTTTTACACAATTTGTGTACAAAGAGATGTCATTTTGTCAGAAGGTTTCATTTCCTTTTCCCGAAATTCGAATATAACCTACACTATGGTGGAATGGTGATATTTAAACGGTTTTTAAATCGGATAAAAATTGTGACAAGCTAAGAAACATCATTTTTCGTACAATCAGTGTCCATAATCCAGGATGTTATAGTCTGATAATTTGAATTAAACTGACATTATGGTGTAACGTTGATATATCGACTAGTGTTGATATTTTTTGATATAAAAAAAAACGAGTGTGAGATTTTATTTATCCTCCAATCCCTTCTTACATGCACAAATAAAAAAATATAATATAGATTTCACCTTTATTGAACCTGATTACATTACGGCGTAGTGATACATCATTTTTTGACAGCAATTCAACCATTGCAAAGTCCTTTATATTGACCCAGTGTTTCCATCATGGCCAATTAAATAAAAATAGTTCCTTTTTAATAAGAAAGAAGTTACTTTTAAAAAAAAATGAGCTGTTCTTTGAAAATAAAAAAAAGTAGTTCCTTTTTGATTGACCAATCAAATTCATGTAAAGCGATATCTCCTAGATTATGAAATTTATAACATAAGCGATATCTACTGTAGAATGTATTATTGGATGATAAACATGCATATCAAGTTTCATCAAAATAAGATGAAATTTTGACCTGTAGAGTGTCCACAATCTAAAAACGTGATTTTGCGTACAATCAGGGGCCATAATTCATGATGTTATGGTCCGATACAGGCTAATATCAATAGGAACTGAGATCTTTTGGAGATAGACCTATATTTCAAATTTCGTCAAAATCGGATAAAAATTGTGACCTGTAGAGTATCCACAAACAAATTGTGGATGAATGGATGTCCAGACGGACAGGGGTGACAGCATAATACGTCCAAAAGAAAATGTGGGTGTATAAAAATATTACAAATATATTTTAATTTTGCCAACAATCTGAAAAAAGATATGTTCTTGTTGGGTTTAACGTCTGCTTCCACCAAGGGTGATATTACTAACAAGTGTTTCCTAGGATAGCGTATGCCCGTCTTCATTAGTCCAGCAGGCCTTAAACCCCATTTCATTTCATTTCAATTCAAATGTAGAGTATTCATATAAAAATTGTTGACGACAATGTGGTGATGTGTAAACAAAAGAGAAAAGCAGTATGGAAAGTAAAGATGACATTACAACAAACTTGAATGAATGACAAAATGGTGAAATACAACACTGAAACCTGATTACAGGTAAAAGATTAAAACTGGCATACACTTTATATTGTTTGAATGGCATTTACATGTAGTAATTTAACACATTAAATTAAACACAACAGTTCTATGGATAACAATTACTGAATTTTTATTGGAGCTACATTCCTCTTGCAGTAATTGTTATCCATAGAACTGCTGTGTTTATTTTATGTCATACCTTTCTTTTAACAGAAATTGTTATTGTAAATATTTGAGACCAATAAAATCCCATTTCCACCAAATAATAATAATACAAATCATTGCTGACATGCTGAAATATAGAAAAGATATATTATGTTTACCTCCATTTTTGTTTCAAATTTGCATGCAGCAAAACAAATGACATGAGAATGCAATCTTTTGGCATTATTGACAACTTCCGTACATTTTGGTTTGTTGTATTCTTTTGTTTGGGAAGGGGAAAGCAGAAGCACTCTGAGAACTGACCCTAAAATCTTATTTTATGTAAATTATCATTTACGTAACAAGCCAATAATCAACTCAAATTGATTAAAACATCTTTGCCATTTAATAATTTAATGTTATAAAATAGATAGACAAGTCCTTGTCTATTATGGTAGCAATTGTACTTTACAATTGAGACTTTCTTGACAAAACTTTAAACACTATTAACTTCGCTCAGAATAAATTAATTTGATTGAAATTTTCAATCTATTCATAATCTATTTTTGAACTATGATAGCAAGATTGGCCTGCTCTTTATCGAAATCTTACATAATGGTGCACCTTTAAATGGCAGAGTTTAACAGTAAGTTGTTATATCGTTACAGATCGACATCCTGGACTACCACTTCAAAATTTTGATTTGCAAATTTAATAAATTTTCCATGGTTTTGTTTATATGAATTCTTGCATCTAGACATCTTTGTTTTTGTGGTGTATATAAATATTTCAATATTAGAATAAGATATAAAATCTTGGCATAATAATATTTCTTTTTAGCTGTTGAAAGAGCTCTAAGAGCTGAAATGAGCATAGAAAGATCCTTCCAACATAGTAGTCGGGTAAAGATAAGCCATATAGAGTGGATACCTAGAACAAATTGCAACAAAATTTTTCTCGATGGAATCTGGTAATGGGGTCCCTGAAGGTCTCCCAAACAAAAATCGCCCAAAATATAAAGATAGGTTTTCGAGTAATTAGCATTAAAGCTCCAATATCTCGGGAATGGTTGAGTTTGGAGGGTGTAAATGTATTACAGGTAGACAGGAAAGAAAAACAAAGCCAAATGACGTCCCTGTTACGTCATACCGTCATACGACCAACAATTTGCATAAATCCAATATGGCCGCCATTGAAACTTAAAACTCTGATATCTCGGGAATGGTTGAATTTGGAGGATCTAAATGTATTACGAGTCGGTAGGAAAGTGCTACCAAAGAACTAGAAAAACGATGCCAGGCGACTTCTTGTGACGTCATAACATCATATGGTCAACAATTAGCATAAATCCAATAAGGCCACCATTGGCACCTTAAAACTCCAATATCTCCGGAATGGATGAGTTTTGAGGGTATAAATGTATTACTGGTAGATAGGAAAGTGCCACCAAAGCATCAGAAAAACATTGCCAAATTACGTCACCGTGTCTTCGTAATTTCATACATCCAATAATTAGTATATACTATAAATCCAATATGCCTGCCATTGGAACCATAAACTATCCAGTTTCTCGCGGATGGTTTAATTTAGAGGGTGAAAATGTATTACTTGTATCATCTTGTCAAACAATTCATATATTTCATCAGTTTGTAAAGGTTTTAACAGGAATATTTTACTTGGTTTCTGATAGACCTGTATTTCAATTATGGACTGTACAATTCTTCTGCTAACAATTCTTCTTTATTGACGATTTCAGGGACTGTAGTGTCAAGTATGCAGTTGGCTCAGGTTCATCTGAATCGTTGACTATGAATTTCAATCTTTAAGTTCTCATCGGGTGAATTTGTTAACAAACTTGGCGGGTCTAGTTCTGGAGCTTCTGTCCATGTGTCTCTATCTGTTTATGACATGTGGTTGATAGACCAAATAAGGCAATGTTCTCCCCCTGGTTTGGGGAGAATGGGGATGCTTATTCCATATTTGGGAAAGAAATGAACGCCTAGGTCAGTCTATGACATGCAGAAATTAGGGGGTTATACAAGAGGGTGTTATACAAGAGAAATTCAGCAGAACTCACCCTGATATTCCTAGCAGCTATCATCAACACTATAAACCTCAGAATGCCTCGTTCCGCATTTTTGTCCACAATTTTGCCATGTTGTAACATGGTAAAAACAAAATGCCACATTTGTCTGGAGTTCCAAAACTATTTTTTTTTTAAATTGCCATGTTTTTAGAACGATGTATTTTGACCAGAACGAGGCTATTCACAAGGTTGGATACTTGATTTTTCAAAAGGGTTGGGGGTGGTTTTAAGGTTCCAACGGCAGCCATATTGGATTTATGCCAATTGTTGAACGTATATGACGTTATGTAGTCCATGTGACAGGCAGATATTCATTACCAATTTGATGAATTGGTTTAACTATGATTTTCAGTTAGCCTTAGGTCTAAAGTGTCCAAAATTGGTTGATGGACTTCCTGTCACTTTGCCAAATGTCAGTTTGGCGGCCATCTTTAAAAAAAATGGCCGCCGTTTTTTTTCTTATTTGAAATAGTGCGAGTCGGGGAAGCCTTCATAACTCCTCAACAGTTTCACCTATATGGATATGTAATATATCTCAAAATGTTCATAATATAATTCTGCATCTGCTGGTATATGATATATGTTGTTTAATCAATACTATCAGTTTTAAAATAAAAGATTAATCTGAAAAAAAGCAACATTTTCGATTTTTTTTTCATGTCTGTTCGTATGTTTACTAACAAATCGTGTTCAGACCAATATAAGCCAAATTATCTGTTTGGTCAACTTAAGTGATTGAATAGATATCAGAAACATTGATCATAAAAAATAATCTCAAATATGAGTGTCCCAGATCCAAGATGGCGGAAATTCAAAATGGCGACAAAATTTCCTAAAATGGCCAATATGTCAGATAATAGTCATTTCATTGTTTGATATGACATGTACTATCCAATGAGCTTACAATTAAAGATTCATTATGTAAGATTTAGATAAAGAGCTAGCCATTCTTGCTACAATAGTTCGAAAATAGATAATGTAAAATGAATAATTTGACAATTTCATTCAAATTACTCTATTGCAAGCAAAGATATTAGCCTTTGAAGGTTTGACAAGACACGTGCAATAATTTCAACAACTGTACTGGTTGCTCGAAGCTAAGTCTCGCTCCTCCATTTTTAGATTAAATCAAAATATGACTGATACGTTCTAATTTATTTAATATCGGAGAAATCCGATACCATCGAGAGTTGATTATGGCCTGGGTCAGTTAATTAATGTCTAAATAATAATTTAGAAAACATTTCAGGCCTAAAGAAAGACCTGCAATAGGCAGATTTAGCTCTTGCACAATGTTTGTTTAATCTAAACAAAGAGTTTTAAAAATCCAAGATGGGGAAAATTCAAAATGGCTTATATAGCTTATAATGTCTCTTTTATAAGGTTTTCAGAGTCACTGAACATGAATAAAAACTCAAAAATAATGCTGAAAATGATGTTAATGATACTGCTAAAAATGACACATCCTATGCGCCCCCCCCCCCCACACACACACACACCCCATAAACAATACAATGGGGCATAATATGGAATTGATTATTTGGGATCTCACAGATCACAAGACATTTCACCAAAATAGTGAGTCATATTAATTTCATCTACTATGCCTTTGCACCATTTTAAGCCGTATTGAGAATTATTTATGATATATCCAGTTGTTAAGAATTTAAGATCTCTTATTCGTTCAGAAATGGTAATGTGGTCCGTTTTTACATTAACGCCTCTATGCCCGGCAACTTTTGTCGTATGGTCTAGTAGGCCTGCAACCAAAATTTTTAGCTTGCTTAGAAACACAGTTCCGCTACAAGGTCCTCCCTATTAAACAAACTATACATATTTGGAAAGCTTATAACACCAGGAACACAAATCCAATTAAAATGTTTTAAGGCCAGATGAAAATTGTGATAATTGTCAAGTAAATGTTATATTTATACTAACAATTGTGAAGTTGACATAAAATTACACATATGATACCTAGGATAGGACAGGCTTATCTTTGCTCCGTGAGGTGAACGACAGGGTTCTCTACAACCAGACTCGAAATTTCTTTTGAAAAAACTGACTGTAATTTAAATGGTACTTTCTAGAGTATATCCTGGTGTTTTTAGCTTATGCATATATCTTAATAATTCATCAAAAACGACATAAATTCATAACTACGCGAGAACATTGACTAATTTAGGGACCCCCGAAACTACCATACTCCTTTTAAGTGTCCATCCCTGAAAAGGGAGGCAAAAGATATGATGTTAAAACGATAATTCATATATTATTTTACAGTTATATATATAAAAAAAATGTCTCCTTTTTATCCAATGGACAATTTATTGTTAGTTCATGTAGAAAGATATGGTGCTTATAAACGTGTTGCAAATTTCCGTATTACATGGTAGACTTCAATGTATCATATACACAATAGGTATTTATTTTACAAGTATAAAAAATGTTTCCGTTTTATCGAATGAACACTTTATTGTTAATTCGCGTGGAAAGATATGATGTTAAACATGTTACAACTGGTATATTAGTCGAGTATTTTACATTTTACAGAAAGTTTACGTTTAATCGAAAATTCCAATAAACAAGTTGAAGGGAGTGTCCTACAGGTGGTAGACCATATTAAATGCTGCTTGAATGTGTATTTTCATAAACTTTGTATGCATATAGATTATTATACTGAAGGTTCGTCTGGATAGAAAATAAGATTTTGTGTGAAACAGGTGTCCTAGAAAAAATGGGTTCACTAACATCAAATATCTGGTTCTACAAATTGTATTTGTCCCTTCTAAGCTAATACCTGTGCGGAACAAACCTTTCCGTTTCATTGAAAATTCCAATAAATAATTCAATTTTAAATTCAGTGGCTACGAAAACCCTATACATGATATATCACAAGCCCTACCTTGCATGATACTATAATAATAATAATAATAATAATAATAATAAAAACTTTATTTAATGAGGCAACGTATTTAGTTTGCAAAAAAACTAATCTTCCATAGGTCCCTCCTAAGCTACAAAGACATATATACATGTAATATCAGGATAAATTTAAAATCATT